AGTAAAAATTAGCTGAGCTTGATGGCATGCACCTAGCTATTCAGAAGGCTGAGGCAGGATTGATCAAGCCCAGGAATTCAAGGCTGCAGTGAGCTATGATGGTGCTTGGATGAACGAGCACGACCTGGGTGACAGAGCAAGACCCTGATTCTAAAAAATAAAAAATAAAATGAATGAAGGAAGGGAGGAAGAAATAAATGAACAAATGAATGAATCAACAAATAAAGAAGTCTTATAAATTAGTCCAAAATGCAGCCAGGCATGGTGGCTCACACCTACAATTCTAACACTTTGGGAGGCCAAGGTAGGAGGATCACCTGAGGTCAGGAGTTTGAGACTAGGCTGGCCAACATGGTGAAACCCTGTCTCTACCAAAAAAAAATTAATACAAAAATGAGCTTGGTGTGGTGGTACATGCCCATAATCCCAGATACTCAGGAAGCTGAGGCAGAGGTTGCAGTGGCCCAAGGTCTCACCACTGCAGTCTGGCCTGGGCAACAGAGTGAGACCCTATCTCAAAATATAAATAAGTAAGTCTGAAACAAAACAGACCATCGTGGAGCTGCCCAGTGTGTGGTGGGAGTGAGGAGGCTGGCACAGACCAGTTTGGGATGAGGCCCTTCCCAACAGCATGGCCACCCACTCCATGGGTGCCGGTAGCAGGCAAGAGGCACCCCCACAGTGCCCAGGAGCTAGTGCACAGCCACGGTTGGGGCCACACCACTGTTACAGCCCGACTCCTTTCATCTTATCTCTTTCCTTCCTCCAACCTCACCTTTAGGATTTTAAGTACAAATCAAGCTTGTTTATTGTTTACTAAGTAAACTTACCATCCAGTGTACTTTGGGTGGTCAACATTTAACTAGGTGATTTCTAAGGTCCCCGCAGCTCGTTCTAATCAGATTTTGTGATCTGGAGGGCTGAGCTGGGCTGGGATTTACATTGCACTGGAAGGAGAGGGTTTGCTCATGCTAAGAGGAAGACTGGGGCAGATTCGTACAGTTCTAAGAAACCATATCAAAGCCTGCTAACAGTAATTTTTTTTTTGCAAATATGCTACTGATTATGGAGGAGTATTTTACTATTAAAATGGAAACTTTCTAACTGCTTTAAACATAGGCCGTATGGGCTTCATAATAATGTAGTGGGTGGCAGGATTAGAGGTGTATACAGATGAAACCTCATCAGCCATTTGCACATGGGAGTCTCCTACTCTATTCTGTTTACTTTTGTGCATGTTTGAAATTTGACATCTAAGAGTGTTTCTGAAGCAGTCTGTAATTCAGACCTCATGGCTGTCTTTCTCCAGCTTACTGCAAATGGCAGGATTTGTTGCTGTGTTAATATGTTTAACATGAAGACGTGGCTTGATATTCATGACCTATAATGTACCCATTGCCTCCCTTTAGATTCCAGAGTGTCTCTGTAGCCATTCAGCACCTGAATCACAGTATTCCATCTTGTAAATCAATTGCAGGCGGCAGCTTCAGACTCAAGCAAAACTGGTTTTAGAGGAAAACAAGTTGTTGCTGGAGCAGCTGGAGATTCAGCAAAGGAAGGCCAAGGACAGCCACCAGGAGCGCCTCCAAGAAGGTGAGGTCTTTCCAGCTGAGCACTGGCCACACACTGATGCCACTACAGTATTGCCATTTTACCCTTCTACCTCCCTCCTGCTGGGGTCCCCATCATGTTTTACATTCTTGACTGAAATGCGACTGTTAAAACCTTTCCAAGTCATTACCCTCAATGCATAGATTGCTTTCTTAAACTCCACTGTCTCTAATCATCCTATGGGTTTGTAAATCACTTGTAGGTGACAGTGCTAGACTCAGCAGAGCTGGTTTTAGGGTAAAATAGTACCTTAGAAATGGGAAAGACCACGAGAGGTAAACATCTGAAATAATACAGGGTCTCTTCCCAGATATTTGTTGGATGAGTAAGTCAGCAGAACCATTCACTTTCTAAACAGTTCCCCTGTGTCTTTCCTTCCTTCAGAGCTTGCGGGCATGGGAGGCGAAACCTCTGCAGGTTTGATCACCGTCAGACACCTTCCGAGAGTGTCCCTCTTCCCGTCTCTTCACACACACTCCCCCAACCCCTAGGAGCCTCACAGTCTGTGACAGTGCACAGCTGTAAGGAGGCCAGGCTAAGAGTCATTACTTCTGCTTTAAAACCACAATTTATTTTATTTGAAGCGGGGTTTCACCATGTTAGCCAGGCTGGTCTCGAACTCCTGACCTTAAATGATCCGTCTGCCTTTGCCTCCCAAAGTGCTGGGATTACAGGCGTGAACCACCACACCCAGCCTAAAACCACAGTTTATAGTACAAAATGCAGTGGTGTTTTTTTCCCTTGCTTTAGTTTTTCCCTTTCCTAGTGAAGAATGGCACAGGCTAGGAAGCTGAAACACCAGCCGTCTTGCACAAGACCATGGCACTCGGATAAGCAGGTGGAGAGTTTCCCCTCTCCAGCTGCTTATGGAATGGCAGCCCCTTCCATGCCATGGCAGGTCCATGACAAGGCCCTGCTATGGCTGCAGTTGCTGGACTAGCACTTCCTGTGTTTCTTAGAACCAGGTCATGTTTAAAGATGACAGCGTCTCGGAGAGGTACACAGGAATTTCCTGCACCTGACTTCCCCTGAGAGCTGCGTGGCCCAGGAGTATTTGCCTTTACTCTCACATTGTCGAGTGGGAGAGGGGAAACAGAGTTGTGGGCCCTCCTATCTTTGTTTTCGGGGTTGGGGATGACAATTTCCTATTTACTGAGCTTCATTTTCTTTAACTACCAGATCTGAACAGATAGGAGGATTTCTGGTCACACGGGGCAGGGAAACCTTTTGACCTGTATGATTCAGTGAGTTGCCTATGCTATTTTCCCATTGCCCAGAAACAGCCATTTAGATATCCTCTTTGACCAATTACCAATTAGATATTTTCTTCTTTATTTGAGACAGAGTCTCACTCTGTCGCCCAGACAGGAGTGCAGTGGCGCGGTCTCGGCTCCCGGATTCCAGCGATTCTCCTGCCTCAGCCTCCTGAGTAGCTGGGATTACAGGCACGCACCATCATGCCCAGCTATTTTTATATTTTTAGTAAAGGGTGTTTCACCATGTTGGCCAGGCTGGTCTCGAACTCCTGACCTCAAGTGATCCACCCATCTCAGCCTCCCAGAGTGCTAGGATTACAGGCGTGAGCCACTGCACCCAGATACCAATTAGATATTTTCATAGAGTAGAGAGATGTACAGTTTTATGCTATAATACCTCTAAGTGCTAGTGTCCACAGACGCCCAAGAAATGTCTTACTACATACAACCGTGTAACATAGGATGAAAATATTTATGACTACTTTAGATACAGGACATAAAATTAAAAATTCAATGAGGAAAGGGAAGGAAAATAAATCCGGTTTTTAGTTTGGCCATGTTTGATGTCCTTAAAGATCTTGAAAATCTTGCAGCTTTCAGGACTATGTTATGACATATGCTTGCACACCTGTGTGTGATTTAAGGCTGCAGTCTCAGGAAGGGCAGTTCCTTGAAGACTGGAATCGTGTTTTGTTAATTATTATAGTGGATCTTATTTTTAAAATCATATTTAGTGAGTGCTTAATGTAGAGATAGTAATTTCTTCGGGGTTTTTTGTTTTGGGGGACGAGGTCTCGCTGTGTCATCCAGGCTGGAGTGCAGTCGGCACAGATGTGGCTCAGTGCAGTCTTGATCTCCTGGGCTCAAGCAGTCCTTCTGCCTCAGCGTCCCAGGTATCTGGGACCACAGGCACATGCCATCATGCCCTGCTAAGTTTTAAATTTTTATGTAGAGATGAGAGGTCTCACTATGTTACCCAGGCTGGTTGTGGACTGCCGACCCCCTCAGCCTCCCAACGGGCTGGGGTTACAGGTGTGAGTCACCATGCTCAGTAGGGACAGTAATTTCTAAAGAGAAGGCCTTTGGTTTTCATTTATAACACTCCAGAAGATCTTGAACAGGTCATTTTTATCAGCTGACTCTCATTAGTATTTCCTAACAGCCAGTAGTTGTGTTTTGTAAAGCCTTCTGTGCCAAGTTTGTATCCTGCTCTTTTGTTTTTCAGTTGCTAAGGTGACTAAACAGGTAATGCTCCTGGAGAGGAAAACCCAGGACCAGGAAAAGGAGCTGGCAGAGAACAGGGAACAGTTGGAGATTTTACGCGCCAAATGCCGAGAACTCAAAACACACTCGGATGGCAAAATCGCAGTGGAAGTTCATAAATCAATTGTAAATGAATTAAAAAGGTAAGGATTTAATGTTTTGTCTTTTTTATTGGTTTTTTTTTTTATTGAGACAGGGTCTTGCTGTGTTGTCCAGGCTGGTCACAAACTCCTGGACTCAAGTGATCTGCCCACCTCAGCCTCTCAAAGTGTTGGGATTACAGGCATGAGCCACTGTGCCCAGCTGATTTAGTGACTTTCTGAGGCGTTCTGCCTGTGGTTAGAGGCAGAATGGAGAGAGGTTGCTGAGTCCTTTCTGGGTTTCTTCACCTATGGTCATGCACAGCATAGCGGCACAGGCGTCTGAAAGTGAGAATGGGACTTTTTTTTTTTTGAGACGGAATCTCACTCTGTCACCAGGATGGAGTGCAGTGGTGTGATCTCAGCTTATGACAGCCTCTGCCTCCTGGGTTCAAGCAATTCTCCTGTCTCAGCCTCCCAAGTAGCTGGGATTACAGGCATGTGCCACCATGCCCAGCTACCTTTTTTTTGGTATTTTTAGTAGAGACAGGGTTTCACCATGTTGGTCATGTTGGTATCGAACTCCTGATCTCATGATTCACCTGCCTTGGCCTCCCAAAGTGCTGGGGTTACAGGTGTGAGCCACCACGCCCGGCCGTATTTACCCTACTTTTAAAAATTATTTTAGAGTGTACTACTTAGAATAAAGTTAACTGTAAAACAGGCTCAGGCGGGTCCCTCAGGAGGTGTCCAGAAGCAGCCATTGTTACCACAGGAGATGAAAGCTCTGTGCGTGTTGCTGCCCCTGAAGACTTTCCAGTGGGTTGAGACATGAAGGTGGAGGACAGTGACACTGATGATCCTGTCCCTCTGAAGGTCTAGGCTCCTATGTGCATTTGTTCTTCATTAAAAAAAGAAACAAAAAAGTTTAGAAAGTTTAAAAAATTTTTTTAATAGCAAAAAGCTTGAGAATAACAATATAAAAATAGAAAATATTTTTGTACAGCTGTACAACGTGTGTTTTAAGCTAAGTGTTATAAAAAAGTCAAAAAGTTAAAAAATTAAAAAGTTTATAAAGTAAAAAGTTATGGTAAACTAAAATTAATGTAGTATTGAAGGAAGAAAACTTTTAAAAATAACTAGTTAATTGTAGCCTAAGTGTACAGTATTTAGTCCACGGGAGTGTACAGAGATGTCCGAGGCCTTCACATTCACTCATCGCTCACTCACTCAGCCAGAGCAACTTCCTTCCAGTCCTGCAAGCTCCATTCATGGTAAGCGCCCTGTACAGGTGAACCATTTTTATCTTTTTTTGGGGGGCGGGGGGCAGAGTCTCGCTGTGTCACCCTGTCACCCAGGGGCTGGAGTAGAGCAGTGGCACGATCTCAGCTCACTACAACCTCTGCTTTCTGGGTTCAAGCAATTCTTGTGCCTCAGCCACCTGAGTAGCTGGGATTATAGGAGTCCACCACCATGCCTAGCCAATTTTTGTGTTTTTAGTAGAGATGGGGTTTTGCCATGTTGGCCAGGCTGGTCCTGAACTCCTGACCTCAACTGATCTACCCACCTTGGCCTCCCAAAGTTCTGGTATTACAGGTGTGAGCCACCATGCCCGGCTCCATTTTTATCCTTTCTATTGAATTCTGACTGTACTTTTTCTGTTTAGATATGTTTAGATACACAAATACCATTGATTTATACTTGCCTTCAGCGTTCAGTACAGTAACATGCTGTGCAGGTTTGTAGCCTATGAGCAAACAGCTCCACCATCTAGCCTATGTGTGTGGTAGGCTGTGCCGTGTGGCTTTGTGTGAGTACACTCTGTGGTGCTCACACAATGATAACATCACCTAATGATGTTTCTCAGAACATATCCCCGTTGCTAAGTGACACACCATTGTGTTCTGATAGCCCCCTAGATGTAAGTAAAGAAGATATGAAAAGTTTAAAAGGAAGTCATTAATGGTGAAGGCTAGGGGGAGAAATGACCATTTTAAAATAACAAAGATGCCACCAAATCTTTTTTCAGTGGAAATTAAAGAAAGACTTCAGTGGCTCAGAATGCACTGACTTGGGAGGAAAGCCTTGATGGCAGCTTTGGCTGAGTGGCTTTGGGCTCAGAGCTGATAGGTGTGTCCAGGGTAGAGGAATAAGGAGGATGGAGCCGGGGGTGTGACACTAATGGGCTCTCCCACAGAAGGGGTGGTGTTTGGAGAGAGAATTTATAACATGGAAGAGGGACAGGAATTCATCAGAGCTGGACTGTGGATTCCACGAAAACCTAGTGGAAAAATAGACAAAATGAGGAAGAGGAAACTCAGTGTTTTTGCTTTGGCTACTACAGATGTGAAGGAAACTGAGGACACGTTGGAGTGAGACTCAAGAAGGCAGAAGGGCCCTCTGACAGCCTCCATTAGGAAGCCCCTTCCCCTGCTGGTGTCATAATAGAGACAGGCCGCATGCAGAATATGTACTGATGAGTCAGCAAAGCAGCTGCTGAACCAGCGCTCACACTGGGGAGTATCTGGGAGCAGTTTGGGAAAGGGTTGTGCCTCAGGCAAAAGTGAGGTCGTGAGGACAAGACTTTTGTATGAGGATAAAAGGGCTCAATTGAACCTGTGGGGGCGGGGGAGCATCGAGGCGTGGTGCGGGTGTGTTCTTTCACGTACCCTGCTTGAAAGCCAGGCAGATAATGGGCATTTTGTCTTGCTTCCTCTGCTCATTGGCAGCCCTGCATGGCAGGAGCAGTGACATGGGAAATGGTACAAGCTCATGTTCCTGGTGAGCTGTCAGTTGGCTTTGGGGCAGACTGGCGGTCACACCTGGAAGCAGAGATGGCTCTCTTTGCTTTTACTATTTTCTGGAAAAGTTGGGCCTACTCAAGATGAAGGTGGGAGAAAAACAAGCTATCATCAACCCACTTCTCTAAGGAAATGTAGCAGACTCCTTTGGGGAGAGCTAAAGATTTAGGGGGACAGGTAATATCTACAAAGGAAAATCTGTATCCTGGCTTTTGGGAGAGCTGTATCCTAAAGTGAAGCCAGCCATTGCACGCACCTTATCTTGTACACAGAGGCCTCCTTGGCAGCCAGGGAGATGCCTGCACAGGGAACCACCAGGGCAGAAAATCCCTCAGTTGACACAGTACACACCAAGAACCAGTTCCTCTTCCAAAAATCAGAACGGATGACTAGATGTGAACAAGCAACAAGGATCATTAGGCGTGATGAAGGAAATGGCAAGGCGAGAGAGAGACCCAGATAAGCAGAGCAGCTCAGGGGAAACGGAAATAATGCCTTAAAAAAAACAAAATGCCATGAGAAAAGAAAGTACAGTCACTAAGTAAGAGCAAGATTAAACACGATTGCCAGAATTTTAAAAATACCACAAGGGCTGAAATCTATTTGAAGAATCGCTTAGAACTAAGGAAACAAACAATTGGGAAATGGAGAGAAAAGGTACTAGAAGTGGAGGACCCATCCAGGAGGTCTAGCCTTAGGTCATCAGGAACCTCAGAAGGATATGAGAGACAGTATAAAGGAAGAAGCTAATAGTTGAAGGGCATTTGCAGACCCCTAAAGACCTTGGTGGGTTCACTGCAGGGGTACCCACTGCAGTGAATGAAAAAAAGACCCCCACACGCACACATATCCTAAAGAAATATCCGTCAACCGAAAGTGATGAGATAGGCCAGGCACGGTGGCTCACCCCTGTAATCCCGGCGCTTTGGGAGGCTGAGGTGGGCAGAATGCTTGAGGCCAAAAGTTCAAGACCAGCCTGGCCAACATGGTGAAACCCCGACTCTATTAAAAATACAAAAATTAGCTGAGCGTGGTGGCGAGTGCCTGTAGTCGCAGCTGCTCAGGAGACTGAGGCAGGAGAGTGGCTTGAACCTGGGAGGGGGAGGTTGCGGTGAACTGAGATTGTACCATTACACTCAAGCCTGGGTGACAGAGTGAGACTCCGTCTCAAAAAAAAAAAAAAATTTGAGAAACCACAGACATGTTTGGAGGGAAAGCATTTGTAGACTGCGTTCAGAATGTTAAAGTATGTAGTCTTTATTCTCTTAGTTTAGTTTAGTTTAAGCTAAGATCTCATCCTGTCTTCCAGGCTGGAGTGAAGTGGCTCCATCGTGGCTCACTTGCAGCCTTGAACTCCAGGCTCAAGCGATTCTGCTCCCTTGGTCTCCCAAGTGGCTGGGACTGTAGTCATGTGCCACCATGTGGGACTAACTTTGAAATATTTTTGTTGAGATGGGATCTTGCTGTGTTGCCCAGGTTGGTCTTGGACTCCTGGCCTCAAGTGACCCTCCTCCCTTGGCCTCCCAAAGTGCTAAGATTATAGGCATGCACACCATTCTTGGCCCCTGGTCTTTGTTCTTTAGGCCACAGGTAATAAAAGCATTTTGTTTGGGAGGGTTTTAAGAAAGTCCTACATGGCTCACACCTGTAATCCCAGCACTTTGGGAGGCCAAGGTGGGTGAATCATGAGGTCAAGAGATCGAGACCATCCTGGCCAACATGGTGAAACCCCCGACTCTATTAAAAATACAAAAATTAGCTGGGCATGGTGGCACACACATGTAGTACCAGCTACTCGGGAGACTGGGGCAGGAGAATCGCTTGAACCCAGGAGGTGGAGGTTGCACAGTGAGCCGAGATCATGTCGCTCCACTCCAATCTGGTGACAGAATGAGAATTCATCTCAAAGAAAAAAAGAAAGTCCTGGGGTGGGGTGGGGTGCAGTGGCTTAAGCCTGCGATCCCGGCACTTTGGGAGGCCAGGGCGGGAGGATCTCTTGGGCCCAGGAGTTCAAAATTTCTACAGGGAAGTACAAAACATAACATAGTGGATTTGCAAAAGAAACAAATAGAATTTTTAGAACTGAAACACACGATAGCCAAAATTAAGAATTCTTACTCTTAAAAGATGTTCTGTTTATATACACACACACACACGCACACACACACATATATATATAAAATATGTACATATTTATATATAAATATTAGTATTTATATATATTTGTATGTGTGTGTGAATATATACATATATATATAAATGAGGACAATAAGATGGAGAGAGGCTTGTAACCAGGAGAACTGTTTCAGATGTGATGTTCAAGGAAGGCCCCCAAAGGAGGGAATGGCTAATTCAAGGCAGGATGCCTGAGAAGCAAGAAGGAAGTAAAATGAAAGTAAATAATAGTGGTTAATATACAGATAAATGTAATGCACATGAGTCTATAAAATGATAATATGTTTGGGGATTTAAGAATACATAAAATTAAAAGGCATGACAATAATGGCATATAATCGGGCACAAGGTCCATGGAGTTTGTGTTCTAAAGTCTTTATATCATTCGAGGATAAAAGTGTTGACTAATTTTGTAATTTGAAAATATGTGCTGGGCGCGGTGGCTCACGCCTGTAATCCCAGCTCTTTGGGAGGCCGAGGCGGGTAGATCACGAGGTCAAGAGATCGAGACCATCCTGGTCAACATGGTGAAACCCCGTCTCTACTAAAAATACAAAAAATTAGCTGGGCATGGTGGCGCGTGCCTGTAATCCCAGCTACTCAGGAGGCTGAGGCAGGAGAATTGCCTGAACCCGGGAGGCGGAGGTTGCGGTGAGCCGAGATCGCGCCATTGCACTCCAGCCTGGGTAACAAGAGTGAAACTCCGTCTCAAAAAAAAAAAAATGTATGATGAAATTTCTGGAAACAATGTATATAACTTTTAAACTAGTAAGGGGAAAAAGAGAATGCTTAAAAAATAATCCACATAAGAGCAGAAAAATGAAAGGTAGGCAGGTGGGAGGATAGAAAACATGAAGTAAAATGTTCGGTTTAAAGCCAAACGTATCAATAGTAGATACACTAAATGGACAAAATACTCCAATTAAAAGACAAAGAATGTCAGACTGGCTAAACTAAAACGCAGCTGCGTTGTCTTTAAGATATATGTCACAAGCATAAAGATGGAGAAGAGTTAAAAGTAAAAGGACAACCCCCCGGACCCAAGTGATCCTCCTGCCTCAACCTCCCGAGTAGCTGGGACTACAGGCTTGTACCACTGCTCCTGGCTAATTTTTAGTCTTTTTTGTTGAGACAGAGTCTCATTATGTTGTCCAGGCTGTTCTCAAACTCCTGGCCTTGAATGAGCCTCCTCCCGTGGCCTCCCAAAGTGCCGGGATTACAGTGGGGGACCCTGCGCCCGGCTGGCGTGGTTTCTTCACTCCATGAAGTTCATGAAGCTTCTTGGGGCTATCAGTGTGTATTTTTCATCAAGTGTGGAACTCTTTCGGCTCTTATTTCCTGAACGTTCTCTTCTGTTTTTCCCTCTCGCCTCTCCGGGACCACGTGATGTTGTCCTTTTGATCGCTGTGTTCACTTTTTTCCCACGCTTGTTTCTCTCTGGGCTTCAGTCAGACCGTGTCTATTACTGTGCCTTCAACTTCACAAATCCTTACTTCTACAATCTCATCTGCTGTCAGTCCCATCCAATATATTGTTCGCTCCACGTAATGATTTTCCCACCTCTGTAAGATCCATTTGAGTCTTTTTTGTATTGTCTGTCTCCAGCATGCTGTTTTTCTCTGCTTTCTCAAATGTAGGAGCATGTTTTTCTAAACCTCCCTTTTTTTTTTTCCAATGCCATCATCTTTCTCACTTCTGGATCTGTTCTGTTGATGTTTTTTTCCCCCTCCTGATCATGGATCATATTTTATTGCTTATTCTCATGCTTGATTGGGTGCTGGATGTTATAGATTTTATGTTGCCGGATGCTAGGCTTATTGCATTGCTTTAAACAGTGTTAGATTTCATTCTGGTGCACACTTAAGCCACTAGAGGATTGTTGGATTGTTTATTTAATTTATTTATTTTTGTAAAAACAGGGTCTTCTTATGTTGCCCAGGCTGGTCTTAAAGTCCTGGGCTAAAGCAGTCTTCCCACCTCAGCCTCCCAAAGTACTGGGATTACAGTTTGAGCCACTGCACCTGGCCTAGCTGGATTCTTCCAAAGCTGACGTTTGTTAGGGTGGACCCAAAGCATCCTCTAGCCGAGGGCTAAGTTAGCCCCACTGCTAAGACAGTAACACTTCTCTTTTATTAGAAGTCCTTTCCATTCTGACTGGTGGCTGCGTGAACTATTTCCGGTTCTTTGTAAATGTCAGAAATTGTTCTGTCTACTCTTTGTACTGTTTCTTTCCTCGGCCTTAGGCAGTTTCTCCTCACACACACAGACAGAGCAGTACCCAGCCAAAGACCCCTCAAGATCTCCAGAGCCCTTTCTCCCTCTGTGAAACGCCCTCGGCCCTGCCCTGGAAATTCCAGCTGCCTTGACCTGCCTGCTCTTGGATCTCAGGCTCCTGCGCTCAGCAGGTGTCTGCCAGACAAGAAGGTGGGGGGGGGCAGTGGTAGCACTCACCTTGTTTTCCCTTCCCTTCCGGATCACGGTCCTGCCTCACCTGTTGTTCAAAGTCTGAAAACTGTTGTTTCTTCTGTTTTGCCTGGTTTTCTAGCTGAAGGGTGAATCTGGTCTCTGTAACTCTATCTCGGCTGCAGGCAGAAGTCTTTGTATTTTCAACATTCTTCTTTAACCTTTTATCGTTAATCCAGCTCAACAGTTTATCCAATAAAATAATAGTTAAATAAGTTTACAATGAAAGAAACCAATCCTGGATTTTGTGTGTTTTACGGTTGACAAACCTTAAAATCATAGATTGTTGTGGATTCCTGCTGTGCTGGTAAAGGATGCAGCCGCTGTCCCTAGTTGCTCTCTGTGCAAATTCAGTAACATCCAAACTGATGTTCACCAAAACAAGTGCCCCTGTGTTTTTTCTTTTGTCTTAAAAACATGTATTTATAATTACATTATTAGGAAAAAATTGTTTTAGCAGTAGGGTTTTTTTTTTTATTATTAGTAGGGCTTTTTTTAATCTAGCATTTATAACCATGTAAAAAGTAGAACGGTCTTATATTTTTTTTGCAAGGAATAGGGTATAAACACACACACACACACACACACACACACACACACACACACACGCCAAAACTGTGGGCAGAAAAAGAGGTTAGATCATCACCATCAAAGAAGTGTGTGGCTGGGTGTGGTGGCTCATGCCTGTAATCCCAGCTCTTAGGAAAGCTAAGGCAGGAGGATCACTTGGGCCCAAGGGTTTGACACCAGCCTGGGCAACATAGTGAGACCTTGTCTTTACAGAAAACAAAAATTAGCCAGGCATGGTGTGTGCCTGTGGTCCCTGCTGGGAGGCTGAGGTAGGAGGATAGCTTGAGTCCAGAAGTTCGAAGTTGCAGTGAACAATGATTGTACCACTGCACTCCAGCCTAGGCAACAGAGTGAGACCCTGTTTCACACACACACACACACACACACACACAGACACACACACACACACACACACGGTGTGTGCCCAGCCACGCCTTCTCTCCCATTGTCTAGCAACTTGGTCCCAGGTCCTCTAGGGCCCAGGATGGGGAGATGTTTCCACAGAGGCCTTCCAAGTGACCCACCCAGGGGCTGGAGAGCTGGGCTGTTAGCACTCATCTGCCTCACCGTGCGACTGCCCCATTTTAGCTTCATTGTGCAGGATGCGAGCCTGTAATGTTTTTGTCCTTCAGCCAGTTACAGAAGGAAGAAGAGAAAGAAAGGGCTGAGATGGAAGAGCTGATGGAAAAGCTGACAGTCCTGCAGGCACAGAAGAAGAGCCTGCTGTTAGAGAGGAACAGTCTGACAGAGCAGAAGAAAGCGCTGGAAGCCGAACTTGAAAAAGCACAGAAAATAAATAGGTTCATATCTTTTTTCCTTTAAGTTGGTTTTTATTTTCAGTAGTTAAAAAAGACAAATGGGCTGGGTGCAGTGGCTCGTGCCTGTAATCCCAGCACTTTGGGAGGCCAAGGCGGGTGGATCATTTGAGGTCAGGACCAGCCTGGCCAACATGGTGAAATCCCATCTCTACTAAAAATACAAAAACTAGCCAGGTGATGGTGGCAGGCGCCTGTAATCCCAGCTACTCGGAGGCTGAGGCAGAGGAGAATTGCTTGAGCCTGGGAGGCAAAGGAGTGAGCTGAGATTGTGCCACTGCACTCCAGCCTGGGCAACAGAGTGAGACCTGGTCTCAAAAAAAAAAAAAAGACAAATGAAGATTATTCCATTTCATTTCTTTTAATCTTTTCTTTTTCTAATAGTGGCTATAAAATGGAAAAGGATAATTAAAATGACTGGATATCAGACTGTAATAACTATGTTTCTGTTAACCAGCGTTAACCAACATTTCCTTTTAGGACATGAGCCAGGAAATTAATAGAATAATATGTACTAAGCCTATAGTCCGGGTGTAATCCCAGCACTTGAAGCTGAGACGGGCAGATCACTTGAGGTCCGGAGTTCAAGACCAGCCTGGCCAACAGAGAAACCATGGCTACTTAAAAAAAAATACAGAAAATTAGCTGGCCAGTAATCTAGTAATTGGATCTAGTAATCCCAAAGTAGACTTTTGGGAAGTGGTTAGGAAAACTTCAAGTCTTAGGGTTATCATATGACTATTGGTGGCACCTGTTATCCCAGCTACTCAGGAGGCTGAGGCATGAGAATCACTTGAACCTGGGAGGTGGAGGTTGAGGTTGCAGTGAGCTGTGATCATGCCACTGCACTCCAGCCTGGGCAACAGAGCAAGACTATGTCTCAAAAACCAAACAAACTGTGTGTGTGTGTGTGTGTGTGTGTGTGTGTGTGTGTGTGTATGTATATGTATGTGTATATATATATATATATATATATATAAATAATTTAATGAGCTTATTCATTGTTAGACATTTGGAACTCCTTCTATTAACTTGAGAGTTGGGGTCACTAATTATGCTCAGTTTCAAATTAAATTCAGTTACCTCTTCTCACCTTGAAACTTAATAGAAGATTTAGTTTGCTGAAGAATAGCATTTAAATGCTAACATACTTGCTGTTTTTGTAATAGAGATATTCACCATGCCCTAGCCATGTAAACTAATGGGTTTTTTTGTTCTACCATTTGGGGTAACTCTCTAGGAAGTCTCAGAAGAAAATTGAGGTCCTCAAAAAGGAGGTGGAAAAAGCCATGGGGAACGAAATGTCTGCTCATCAGTACCTGGCAAACCTTGTTGGCCTGGCAGAGACCATAACCCAGGAACGTGACAGTCTTATGTGTCTGGTAAGTTTCCTGAAGGTTATATCAAGTAAACTGCAAGTTAATATGCAAATTTGATTTTAAGAGTATTTTTAAAAATGCTCTATTAAAAGCTTTATGCAAGCACTCCCTGACTTATGATGGATGGTTTGACCTGGGAATTTTTGACTTTATGATGTATTTATTGGAGACTAACCTTATTGAAGGTTGAGGAGCTCCTTACAACTTATAATGAGGTTACCATTTATACTAAATGCCTATTGCTTTCACACCATTATAAATGTTGAAAAAAACGTAGATTGAATCATCATAAGTTGGGAACCAGCTGCTGTTTTGTCAGGATTAAATGCATTTTTGATATACAGTTTGTTTGACTTATGATGGGTTTATCAGGATGTAGCCCTGCTGTAAGTTGAGAAGCATCTGTATTTTAAATTTTCAACTGTATTACCCTGTCATGGTGCTGTGTGCCTGCAGTCCCAGCTGCTCAGGAAGCTGAGGCAGGAGGATCATTTGAGCCCAGGAATTCGAGACCAGCCTGGGCAACATAGGAAGACCCCATGTCTACAAAAAAATTAAAAAATTAGCCAAGTGTGGTGGCATGCACCTGTAGTCTCAGCTACTCAGGAAGCTGGGAGGATGACTTGATTGTGGGAGTTGAAGGCTGCAGTGAGCTATGACTGTACTACTGCATTCCAGCCCGGGAGACAGAGCAAGACCCTGTCCCCAAAAAAAAAAATGCTAATTAAACTGGTTTTGAGACACCATTCTCAAAAAATGTTACAAATCTTTTTTTTTTTGAGATGGAGTTTGGCTCAGTTGCCCAGGCTGGAGTACAGTGACACAATCTTGGCTCATCACAAACTCTGCCTCTTGGGTTCAAGCGATTCTCCTGCCTCAGCCTCCTGAGTAGCTGGGACTACAGGCGCCTGCTACCATGCCCAGCTAATTTTTTATATTTCACGGGGTTTCACCGTGTTAGCCAGGATGGTCTAGATCTCCTTACCTTGTGGTCTATCAAACTGGTGAAAGTAGGCATCCTTAACTAGTTTCAGTTCTGAGAGAAAAGGCTTTTAGCTTTTCCCTACTCGGTATGATGTTAGCTATGGGTTTGTCATATATGGCGTTTATTATGTTAGGTATGTTTCTTCTTTGTCTAGTTTACCAAGTGTCTTTGATCATGAAGGGATGTTGAATTTTTATCAAATTTTTTTTCTGTGCCCATTGAGGTGCACATCTGGTTTTTATCCTTCGTCCTGTTGATGTGACTATTGTGTTTATTGATTTGTGTGTGTTGAACCATCTTTACATCTCTTGATCCCACTTGATCATGGCATATTTTTTTTTTGACACACTGTGGAATTTGGTTTGCTAGCATTTTGTTGAGGATTTTGCATCTGTGTTCATTAGGGATATTGGCCTTTAGTATTCTTTTTTACTGTGGCTTTCTCTGGTTTTGGTATGAGGGTATTGCTGACCTCACAGAAATAGAGAATTCCTTCCTCTTCATTTTTTTGGGAATAGTTTGAGAAGAATTTGTATTAGTTCTTCTTTGTAAGGTTGGTAGAATTTGGCAGAAAAACCATCTGGTCCTGGACTTTTCTTTGTTGGGAAACTTTTTATTAATAATTCAATCTCATTATTTGTTATTGTTCTGTTCAGGTTTTCTCTTTCTTTCTAATTCAGTCTTGGTAGTGTTGTTGATGGGCCGGTTCAGGTTCTTGACTTCACCACAAAAAAGAATTTGAGAGCAAATTCAAAGTAAAAGCAGGCAAAGAAGTTTATTGCAAAGCAAAAGTACACTCTGTCAGAGGAAGAGACAGCCCCTAGTGTCTTAAGGGAATGGCCTTTATAGGAGCCGTGCATGCATATTCATAAAGAACTGGTAGGTTGAGTGGGCAAAGGTGGACCTATGGTTGATGCATGTACTCAGTATCTACATGCTGTAACATGCATTACATGTCTCATTAGGGGTGTGTTTTTTTACTATTAAAATGAAGAAAAGGTCACTGTAAGCAAAAGCTTGTGCCTAGCTGTGCATGCAGGACCCTGGAGAAGTCTTTATCCCTCCCCGGGCAGAAACTGGTAGTAGCTAATTCCTAATAGCTAAGATAGTAGCTTCTTGGGCTTTTGGTGCTGATCGGCTGGAGACTGGGGAAGCTACTTATGAATGAGGGACTTTTGTTCTTTTTCCTAGGCCATATTGGGTATCAGGAACATGTAACCTCCTGGTAGTTGGCTGGGATCCTGTGGGACTACTTATCTTGCAAAAGAGTTAGGTGCTGACATACAAGGGTGCACGTGAAAGGAACCCATGCCAAAGGAGCCCGTGGAGCTTCACTAAAGGGGACAAGTCAGTATGCTCTCATAACGTTACTTATCCTGCCTCTGTAGGTTGTATGTTGTCCAGAAATATATTCATTTCTCTAGGTTTTCCAGTTTGTCAGCAGTGATTTCTCACTATGTTTCCCAGGTTGACTGTGAACGCCTGGATTCAAGCAGTCCTCCTGCCTCAGCCTCCTGCGTCACTGGGACTATAAGAACACTTCACCCCGCCTCACTGAGTTCTGCCCTGATCTTTATTTTTTCTTTCTACTAATTTGGGGTATGGTTTGTCGTTGTTTTTCTAGTTCCTAGTTCATCATTAGGTTGTTGATTTGAAATCTTTCCACTTTGGCGATGCAGGCATTTATTGCTAGAAACTTCCCTCTTAGTACTGCTTTTGCTGTATCTGTGGGATACCTATGGGGTTTGGTATCTTGTGTTTATGATGTTGTGCTTTTCATTTGTTTCGAGAAATCTTTGATATCTTTCTTAATTTCTTCATTGACTCAATCGTTGTTAAGGAACACATTGTGTACTTTCCATGTGTTTGTACCGTTTCCAAAGTTCCTCTTGTAGTTGCTTTCTAGTTTTAGTCCTCTGTGGTCTGAGGAGGTGCCTGATATGATGTCAGCATTTTAAAATGTGTTGAGTTTGCTTTGTGGCTTAACACACAGTGTATACTAAAGAATGTTCTGTATGTTGATTAGAAGAATGTATGTTCTGTAGTCATTGGATGAAGTGTTTTGTAAACGTCTGTTAGGTTATTTTGTCTAAAGTGCAGTTAAATTCAGTGTTTCTTTGTTGGTTTTCTGTCTTGGTGATCTGATTGCTGAGAGTAGGGTGTTGAAGTCCCCAACTATTATTATATTGCAGTCTATCTCTTCTTTTAGATCTAATAATATTTGCATTATATACCCAGATGCTCTGGTGCTGGGTGCATATGTTTAGAATATATGTCCTCTTATTGGATTTATCCCTTTGTTATTATAATATGACCTTCTTTGTCTCTTTTCACAATTTTTGACTTAAAGTTTGTTTTATTTTATGCAAGTATAGCTACTCCTGCTTGCTTTTGTTTTCCATTTACGTGGACTATTTCTCTCTCTTTTTTAAAATTTTGTTTTCTTTTTCCACCGGATCACAGTTCAAGGAATATTTTTTTCATCCCTTTACTTTCAGTCTGTATAGATCTTTACAAGTGAAATGTGTTTATTGTAGGCAGCACATAGTTGCATCATGGTTTTTTTTCTAATATCCATTCAGCCAATCTGTATCTTTTAAGTGGAAACTTTAATTAATTTACATTCAAGGTTACTATTGATATGCAAGGACTTATTCCTATCATTTTGTTGATTGTTTTCTGGTTATTTTGTATATCATTTGTTCCTCTTATTTATCTCATTATTCTTTAGTGGTAACATTTGAGTTTTTTCTCTTCCTTATTTGTGTTTTCATGATAGTAGATATCTTTCTTTGAATTTCAGATATAGGACTCCCTTAAGCATTTCATGTAGGATGGTTCTAGTGGTGACAGATTCCCTCAGTGTTTGCTTATCTGTAAGTCTTTATTCTTTCTTCATTTATGAAGGATAACTTTGCTGGGTATAGTATTCTTGGCTGATTGACAGGCTTGTTTTTTTTTTTGTTTTTTTTT